GTGGGCCGGATCCGGCCCGCAGGCCGTAGTTTGGGGACCACTGGTTTAAAGAAAAAAATCTAAACATTTTGACTAATTGGATAAAACCCAGAGTAAAATACTTAAATTAATAATGATAACTTATGATTAAACCAATAATTAATATTGGTTTAACCAATGGTTGATGTTGGTTTGATAATAATATTTACACTTACTCTTATACTTATGGAAGTACTTAAAGGTGAAACAAGTAACTTTAACATGGTGTCAAATAATTAGAATAATGGATTATTCTTGGTTTCTTTTCAGAAATGTCTGTAATAACTCACATTATGATTATAATAAGAGTAACTAATAAGTTATGGTTACTATAAAATTATAAATGAATGCTAAATCAGAGAAACTAAAAGGTTATAAATGTGATTTTGACATTGAGCTTGAAGTGGTGTAAAATGAGTAACTGTATCTAAAGGTCACTGATGTTGTGTTAGAGGTAGATGGTAGGTGAAAGGTCAGGGAGAAAGAGGAACTGATAGGAGAGCGGAGGTGACCAAGGCCTTATTGCTGAACTTCAACTTTCCTAAGAAAAGGTTAGACACAAGAGGACTGTTGAGCAACCATGGGTCATTAGAACAGACATCATGTCTCCAAGACTGTGATGGATATGAGATCATCGGTCCAAGCAGTCAGCCAATGACTGGCTAGGTACAGCAACAAAGCTAGCCAATGCAAATGCACCAAAAGAGTGGATAAATCCTTTATAAGGTGGGTGCAACAGAGGACTCTTTGGTTGGATCCTTCAGGCAGCTTCGAGCCAAGATCGAGATGGACAAAGAACTCTGCAGCTGAAGAAGAGCTGGGGCCACAGAGCCGAAGACTTTTCTACAGATGGGGACCAACCCGTTAGCCCCGCAACATGTGGCTTCAAATTGCATTTCTCTCATCAGCTGGGTTCAGATCCCAAAGACAAAGACCAAGGCAAAGATGAAGATAAAGACAAAGGCAAAGAGGAAGAACTGGTGTGTTCCTTCCATGAGACCAGCTCGTCTACATCTCGGAGAAAGATCGTGAGACGAAGAGAAAGGAGCTACAGAGCTGCAGGACAAGAAGCTGAGGGCCGCTACGCGCATGAGGAAGTCACCCTGAGGCCCAAGACCTGCCGTTCTAAGTCAGTACTCTTCCTGCCAGCACCCAAGACCTGTGTGACCTCACCATCGAAGCGGAGACAAAAGCTCATCAGATCTGCAGGGACGGCTGCCCTCATCTATCAGCGCTGTGAGCCTTCTGCTGCTGCAACACTTCCTTCATCAGGCCAGTT